ATTACATTATCTTCCATTCACGTTGTCACCCTATTTTATATACCAGACTACCCTGTATCTAGTAAATACTAGAGCATTCGCCAAAGTACAGGATAGTTCTAGAAAGTAGAGGGCGTGAGAATCACATGATCTCGATGACGCAACATTTGTTTGTTTGTAATTACGCACAAAGCTGTACAATGGGTTATTTGTGCTCTGCCTACTACGGGTATCGAAACCTGGTTTTTAGCGTTGTACATCTGAAGACATTCCGCTGTTCTACTGGGTGGGTGGGCACCAGAATAATACCAACGAAACATAGTCTCACTTGCTTGTTATGAGGTTGAACTCGTGTGAATATTCTCGTCGACTTACTTTAAAAAACATACCTTTTATTTGTTTTCAGCGTAAAGCTAAATAATGGGCTATCTGTGCTTTGTCCAACGCGAGGAATTGAACTTCAAATTTTAGCGCTCTAAATCCATAAACTTACCACTAATCCACCAGATGACATTTGCTTTTCGTTTCCAACAAAATTCGGACATCCTAAAAATATCACAAAGCTAGAAAGATAAAAAAAAACAAAAAAAAAACTGGTGCAAATTAAAGTAAACGTCAATATGCAAAATACACGGTTTAAATTCCATTTTGAAAGAAAGGAAAATAACAGCATGTTCGTTGTACATTATAGTGAGAAATTCCTTGCATATTAAAATACTATGTTTTCATGGCAGACATATCAAACCGATCATACTAAAAAATGTACAGAAATCCATGGACATCTGACTGTAGAAGATTCTCAGTGAACTTGCAAAAACATAGTTCGTGACTGTGCTAAGTTGTACATCAAAATATTAAAAAAGAATAGACACTAAGCTTTTTTCTATCACTTACATATACCATACGCAACTGAAAGTGAAATTTGTAGTAATTGTTTGAAGCAGCCTTTCTCTTTCACATATTTCCAAAAATGAATTAACCGCCCTCTATTGGCCAAAAGTTAACTTCATCAAATAAAGACGTGTCATCCACTCCGTGTACACAGAGGTACCTGGTACACAGTACTTTGGCAAATAAAGCACTTCAAACAACAAAAACACAAACAAACTATTTAAAAGGCTGAAAGGACAAGCATGTTCAGTGAAAAAACACTACTAATCTTTTCGCGAACAGACATTTTGTATTTTCAGGAAACAGGAAAATTTAACTAAAACATTATTTCATTGATGTATTGAGGAAATATCCTACAAACCATCCCTCCACCATCAAAGTATGCCTATATGACTACTGGGAATAGAAATAACGGGCGTACTAAGTACAACCCTAAGGTAATCAAAGGGTTGTACAGAGATGCATCTTAAATGTGGTGATATAATTCTATTTTTAGGGCAAAATAAAACGAACAAAAAAAACTTTGACCATTCTTTATTCTATATCGTAAACCTAAGAAAGAATTTAAAAGTTAAAGCAAAATAATGTATATAACTAGCTGAATTACCCGGCGTTGCACGGTGAAAATTTAGATTTGAAATGTATAGATCAGTATTTTTTTTCAACAAATTATTCAGTAAGTAGACAAAAGTTGTAATGCGAAAAATAAAAAAGCACTTAATCAAACAAAGATTTATTTGAAATTAGAAGTTACAATACTTCTTTACATACAACATTGCATGTTTTTCCAAAAGGAGAGTATATATAAAGATTGTTAGCTGTTCCTACTCTAGAGCATCTTACATACAGTTGACCATGAGAGAAGCAGTCTTCTTGTAATTGTAGCCCAACAACTTTCACTGTTTGTCCCTGTGATTTGTTTATCGAGATGGCAAAACTTAACTTTACTGGAAATTGTAAGTGTCTAAACTGAAACGGCATCTCTGATGTTATTAGAGGTATCCTAGGAATAAAAGTATCTTCAACCAGTTGTCTAATTTCAAACATACTGTTGGTGTTAATGTGCTGGATTTCCCTTGAACTAGACTTTGAAATTAAACAACTTTTGGAGTACTCTGTTTATTTATTATCGTTTAACTTGTATATAAGCTGTTTCATAAATTCTGCCAAAAGATCATCAGGTATTTACTATTTTAAATATCATTGCATCAGTATATTTTAAAATTCTAATATTCTGTACTGCTTGCAGTTTTTGCCACATCACTTGTGTAATTAAGATTCCCTTGGAAAAAGATACAGAGAACACTTTTATGTTACAATTTTTGTCTAATGGACATTTTAAAAATAAAATCCATGTTATAGTTCTTTAGACAGTTACATGAAATAATGTCACCTATGAATATGAAGTATGATATGAGTTACAGTTAGTTTTAGATAAAACATAAACTTACTTTCTCTTCCGTCTCGAAACTGGACAGTAGAGGAACTACCAGTTTCTGTCTCCATAGGAGTTGGTTCCAGTTCATCACTATGACTAAATATCCAGTCTAAAGCTCGTTCAACATTGTTATCCTATGTGAAAAAAAACCCAACATAATAGGGTATCAAGTCAGTAATAAGTATATATATATATATATATAAAAATATTTAGTTAATAAAGATCTTTAACAAATATTACTGTATATTTCAATTAACCCTCTCCAAGCAACCAGTTTTTGAAGCTGTTCGAAAACATGTTTAACACTGTTTTCAAAACAGCATTGCTTTCTCCCACTGAAGCCATATTCAAAATAAGAATATGGTGGAAATGTTGGCATTTCAGAGTTTTATTTGATATAAAACATACTATACAAATTTTTAAAAATGAGAAAAATAATTGCTGAAATCCTAACCCTAAATTAATATTTTTGACCCCAAACAAGAAATTATAAATTCAGATCATTTCTGCCAATACAACAAAGCTTGAAGAAAACATTTATCTCACATTTGTCTTGATACTGTTGTATTCTTATGCTGTTTTGTAACTAAAGAGTAATGAATATTTAAATAAACAGAACAAAAACTGAGAGTAATAAAAATCAAGTAATCAAGAATGGATTTTGTGTTTTATCTATCAGATTTCTGAACCTAGAGAAAAATATATTTTCAATTAAGACGACAAACAGCTTGAGACAAATGTTAATCTTTAGATTTATATGACTTTCAGCTTAACCTTTTTGAAGGGTCTATGAATGTCTCAGGTGTAAAAACTGATTTTAAATTATAGTAACAAAAAAATACAATAAAATTACAATAATATAATACATGGTGAAGCATGCTAAAAGTATTGTTGAACAGGTTGGAGTTACTGATCATAAAAGTAAATGTTAAAAATATAAATAAAAAATTTGACAGGAAATAAAAATAGTTTTATAGGGGCAGGGCAATGTACTTGTTAATGGAAGGGCATCTGAATTTAATCAGGAGAGATTCCTTAAAATTGCTGTCAAGAAAGTTGTCACAAGTATCTAAAATTTTGACCCAATAAAGCATCTTGTTAATAATGCTGTGTGAGTTGATGTAATGTTCAGTAGTGACTACTTTGTTGTCAATAGCTGCAGTAAAATGAATGCATTCTTTGAAATGATCATGCATTGGATGACTGGATTATTGTATGTAAGTAGCTGAAAACTGTGTGCATCATTTCATAGACAGTGTTCCTAAGCGAGCAGGATTTTTCTAAGCCAGTGGTCTTAGCCAAACACTTTTTGGATTTGTATAGATTGTTGTTATTGAAAGCTGAACAATATGTATATCCTTCATTTTTTTCCCAAGGTTTTTATATGATATGAATATTACAACCAGATCTTTCTAATTGCTTGATGAAAACAAGTAGTTAAAGGTTTATCCACAAAGGGCATAATCCATGAAATAATGTTTTGTTGTGGTGGTTTCTTTGTTTTTTGTTGTCATTCGTAAAGTCTTATTATTCAAAATTGTGGAACGTCTTAGTAATGTAATTATAGAAATGGTCTTTGGACAACAGTAGTTTTTGAAGTTTCATCCTGGCTTGTGTCTTACTGGTAGTCTACGGTGTTGCAGAATTCTTAAATTCTATTAAACTGATCGATAATGACACCCCATTTGGTAGCTGGTGTGAGTTAGTGTAGAATATTGGGTTTAACACATGGTTTGGAATATAAAAGAATAATAAGTTTGCTCTTTTCAATAGTGACCATGGCATTAAGAAAAGCTATAGACTTCCAGACATTATCAGTATGAGTAAGAGTAAGCTTTATGTTGGGGTGTTGATTATTAAGGAATTCAAAGATTTACAAAAGAGAGAGGAGTCCATGATTCCATATACTAAAAATGTTGTCAATATATTTGTTCCACCTAACTAGATTAAGATTAATTTAAAAATTTCACTGAGTAAAAGAGAGGCCAAAATGACTGCAATATTGTTGCCCATAGCAATCTCTTTGATTTGTTGTAGACAGCTAAATTGAATTTAAAGAAACTGTTGTTAAGAACAAATCTGAGAGAATTTTCAATGAGTTTTATAGGGGTATTATTGGTAGTAGAAGGGGTAGTTGATCTAATAAGATTCATAACTGAGCTTAAACTTTCTTCTGTGGGAATGGAGGATACACAGAAATAACATAAAAAAGAGTAAATAGGATAGAGTTCAAGCTCATCTGTAAACTATCTTCACATAACCTGTTGAGAAAGTCATTGGTGGTATTTAGGTGTGAAGATATTTTGTTGAGGAGAGGGTGAAGTAGCTTTTTGAGTAGTCAAGATACAGATGTTAATGGAGAATTGCATATGGAGATCATGGATCTTGGAGGTTTGTCAGATTTATGATTTTTGGCTAATTCATAGGTACAGCCCAGGGGTTTTAAATGAGATGGTCTACGATTGTCTAGAAGTCATTTGGGTAATTTTACTTTTAAAGTTCTTCAAAATGGCTTTGGGATTTTTTTCCAATTCTTTTTTTTTTGTTTTTGTTAAGTGGTTTCTAGCCAGACATATCCTCACATTCGTGCCACTACAAATCTTGACAACAAAGAAGTCACCACTGAATATTACACCAACATGCATAGCATAATTAACGAGACACCTTAACAGATCAAAATATTAGATTTGTGACAACTTTTTTGACAGGAAATTTAAGGAATCTCTCCTGATTCAATCCAAATGCTCTCCACTGGCAGTACAATGCCTGGCCCCAATAAAACTATTTTTATTTCATGCAAGAATGTTTTATTTATTTTTATGATTAGCAACTAACCTATTAAACAATACTTTTAGCATGCTTCATCATGCACCATTCTATTATATTGTTGTTATTTTATATCCTTTTCAGTTACTCTAACTTAAAATTACTTTTGTAACATGTGATGTTCATAAACTATTGAAAAAGGTGTAAGCCCAAACACTGGATAGATTAAAAACACTTATATGAAGTTGTTTATCACCTTCACTGAAAATTGTTTCCATCCTTCAATCGGCACTGAAAACTTTAAAAAATATTCAAGAGACACCTAATATATCTTATTCATCTGGTTATTTCATATTCAATGATACATTTATAAGTCATTTTGACATTTAAACCATTTAGCAGCAGTGACAAGCCTATATCACATGCTATCAAAGAAGTCAAAACAACTGGCCTATTCCTTGGCAGATGTTGCATGACTGATTTATCTTGAACTTCATAGTTTATAAGGGCTCCATTATCTCATTCTTTCAACTAACTGGATTATAAGAATTTCTTATAGAAAAAAACACACTTTCTCTCAAAACCATGAGAGATTAGCTTTGGAAACTACCATTACAGTCAACTATAAACCATAGGACAGCATTAGTGGCTACAGTTACGAACCATAGTTGCATATCAATATGCACCTACTTGTCACCATCCACCCCCCAAACCTGGATATGGGGTACATGCAGTAGATAACAACAATATTCTCCATCTTCCCTCTCCCCCCCCATTTTGAACCACAAAACTTTAACTCTATGAGACTCAGGCACATTGATTCAACATATCACCAAGTTAATCTATTAACACAGACAATAAATCACAGAGTGAGCCATTACACTGTTTCCACCAAACCATGAAACCTGGCCTGAAAAGCACACAAACATGCAAAGCTTTTAGTTATATCTCAGTGAAACAATAAACCCGGAGAAAAATTTACATTATGGTTCAGCAGATCAAGAGGTAAAATATGAAGAATTTGAATTATATACTATGTTTTGATGCTAAAGTTATACATTTATAATAAAGTTGTAAAAAAGGTCATGAGATATGCTAAGTAGAATAATAATGAATGTTCAGTAGACAAATTAAAAACTGAATAGTAAAAGTGGACTGCTAAGTACGTACCATTTTAATTACCATATGTTACATATGTATATATATATATATAAATATATAATTACTAGTTACTCATAAATGCTCACATTTCAGTCATTTTTTGTTGAAAAATGTAACAGTAAATAACAAATATAAAACCATTATTTCTAGTACTTACAATGTTATGAAATCTACTTGTACTCAGGAGATGCAAGACATAGGTCACTAAGCCTTAATGATTCTTTAAAATTGATGTGAATAGAAATAATTCTTATGAATTTTAAATACACATTTTCGTAAACAAAAAATTACCACTCACTAGAATAGGGCATCACAAAACTATTATAATTTTATATGGCTTTATAACTAAAGTATAAATAGATTAAAACAATTTCTGTTCAGACCAATATATTTTAGTAAAAACACTTCAACATTTCACAGCAAATTTCAGCTTTCCTCGTCACAAAATCAATAAACAACCATCAGATTTTTCATGGTTTAGTATCTGCCCCTTCTAATTGATTTAGTGGCTCAGTGGTATGTTTGTGGACTTATACTGCTAGAAACTGGATTTTCGACACCCATGGTTGACAGAGCACAGATGGCCCTTTGTGTAGCTTTGTGCTTAATAACAAACATCTACTGATTTTAAATGTACTTAACACTTTCACTACTGTCTCAGTGGATTACACCAACCTTGTGACCCCAAATGATCATCACAGTTTAGCATTTGTTTTTAAATATATTCTTTCAAAGTAAGAATTTATAACATGTATAATATTAAAATTTGAATTATAAACGACCTTGTGATGCTAATTTTATTGCCATACAATGATAATAAAGTTGTTTAATTAAATTTGGAAAAGAACTCCCTAAAACATTATGGCATGCACCCTTTGATCTATCCATAGTGAGAGGGTTAAGACAGGTAGGTGTAAGTAAATAAGTGGCTTCAAAAGAATGAAGAGATGGGAAGGGCTTTTCTTGTAGGTTTGCTAAATATACTGATATTTCATCAAATCAATAAGATGGGAGGTTCTAATTTTATTTTCTAGCTTGTCAATATCTGAAGTTTGAGAGTTTTATTGGTTAGGCACCGTTCACTTTATATAGTAGAAGCAATAAAATGTACATTATAGTAGGTAGTGTCAGGTGACATAGAAGTGAGAGTACTAAGTAATTTTTTTTAAATATTGATACAAGTTGTGGCATGCACAATTTGGCCCCACCCTTGCACACAGAATTAATAAATTAAATTTGATTAATCGATTAGTACAGTATTCCTTAAACCATGGCACCTACAAGAAAAGAGTTGATGGCAGTGGTTCAACAAGAAGAAGAAAAAAAGTTGGTGACAGGAATGATGCTAAACTGTAGTCTTCCTACTACTCATCAGTTCAAAACAGGAAAAGAATAGAGTTTGTATAAGGTGCTGCCAGACAGTTGACCCCCTCCCCCAATTACTTGGTTAATCGAGTTAGTCGTGATTTCAATAAATACATTAGTGTATGCGACACTAATAGAAGTAACTACTGTTCATAAGTAATAAATTAAATTTCCAGCTGTACACTACACACACTACTATACAATGGGCTGTCAGTGCTTTACTCTGCTCATTATTTAGCATTTTAAGCCTTCAGACTTATTTGCTGAACCACTGAGAAACATTTGTTGAAGTCTTGGTTGTTCAATAATAGTGTTTTATTTTGTGGATACTCAAGTTTTTATCTGAAATATGTGCTTAAAATTGCAACCTGAACTAGTAAAGTAATTCTTAAATTTTTTTCATCATCCCTACATTTGTCATAATACACAAACTAAAATTCTAATTACACTTAACCTATCAAATTTAATATTTTAATACTTAAATCTTGAATGATGCTATTACTTTTCAAACATTTACAGAAATGATCTCTCATGCATTATTTTTATCTCTAGCACAGAAGGTTAAAAATGTTCTATACATTTTCTCACTCTGTAATTGTAATCAAACTTAACTGTTTCTTTAAGTGCTTTTTTTGCTTGATCTTGAGAGAAACCCATTGAAACTATGGTGACTAATGCTTCTATATTTGGAACAAAGTCATCTTTTGTATTGTCTTTCAAACTTCCCACTGGTATGAAGGGGTCAGCAAAGTCTACCACATAAAACAGACAGAGATTAATATTTTTACAAGGTCAACTGTTAAAACTTTAACATTAACTTTACGAGAAACAATTAATATACAAAAGAAAAAATGTTAGAAAATATATTAAAAACATTAACAATTTTATTTACATGATCAAAGGGGGGGGGGGGAAGAAATACTTATAATGATGAAAAAAGCTCTAGAATGAGCTGTTGAACAAACTATAATGGTCCATGCCAAGTAGATGAAAATGTTTTGATACAAACTTTGTAGTCTTCCTTTTGTAATGCTTAAGCTTTTATCCCTGTATTAATAAGTCTCAATAAAATAAACTTTTCATAGACATGAAAAAAAAAAGAGAGAAAAGAATCAACAAAAGCTCACAGTGGTAAAGATGTAAGAAAAATAAACACATATAAAAATAAAACAAAATTTAAATGGTATGGCAAATAAAATTTTTTATTAAGATGAAATCACATATTAGCGATCATGAAATCAGAAAGAATACTACAGCTGGAATCTAATTAAAAAACCTTACTTACTGTACAAAGAATAATATTGATAGAGAAATAAAAAATTAAACACTCAAACTCAATTGAGGTGTATAAAAGTTTGAAAATGTTAGAGCTGGCATCATTAGTGAAACAATATGTACAATCAGAAAGCACAGAAATGAACTTTAAAATGAGAAAATACACAATGTGTTAGAAAAGAAAGAACAATGTCTTTATACTGAAGAACAAAGGGTAAGGATGAAAGAAGGTAAAAGACTTCAAAATAAAATATAAACATTAGTGAAGAACATAAAGCAATAGAAATGATTTCTACAAAATAATAACATAATAACCTCTATTAACATACTACTCAGATGAAGCAAAAGCTATTGTGGTAAATAACTAATGTGAATGAGATCATAAATATGAATTTATTAGAAGTCTAATTTTACTTGGATAGCCAGATGAAAATACTTGGGTAATTCAAGCACTTCATTATCCAGACTTTAGTTAATGTCTGGATAATATGTAAAAATATTAAACACAAAAAACTTTTAGAGTATATGTTTGACTCAAATACTCCATTATCAAGTTAATTTTTACATACAGTCTGAACTAACACTAAGATAACAATACTAAAAAATTAATTCTTTTAATAATCAATATTCTACATAATACATACATTACTACAATTCTGTATTAGTTTGTTAATTTTAACTATATATATAATTATGATGTCATAAAAATAAAAAGGTTCAAGAAGTCTTGATACAAAATGATAAAAACGCTATAACCCGAGCTCTTTCGAAAGGTCCACCTTTCAAAAGTATTCGGGTTATAGGGTTTTTATCATATTTTATCTAAACTATATATAAAATATATAACAATTCACTACAAAGAAATTCATGCAGTACATACACAATTCATGTATCCTCTCAGAAAAACCAGTTCATCATCAGGTACTAGGACTATATGAAAGAAATACTCAACATTTTACTAGAAGATTTAACAGAGTACCTGGATCATTCATATGTTCCATTATCCAGTTCATTGCTGCTTCTATACCTTCATTTTCTGTGTTATACAGAGCTTTCTTGCAGGCTTCTTGTGGAAATCCCATGTCAAAAAGTTGAGTCAAAACTGCATGGTCAAACTCTTGTAATAACAACAACAAAAAAAAATTTTAAGATTTCAACATGATATACTTTTACTTGTAAGATCTTACTATAATGTTAAGTTTTGAGTAAAGATGGAAACAAATTCCCACATTTAGGAATATACCGTATTAGGAAACTGTAAATTTTGTGGTATTTCTTTATTAATAAATAATTTTCAAGTCGTAAAACATTTCCAATGTGGCCATTGTTTCTCATTCTTTGCTTTTAAAACTGATCTTCTCACATCACTTTATCTCCATAGATATCATTAAAAATGTCCTTACAGTAGAATTGTTAATCAAGAACTCTCAAAAAAACCTTAAAAATCAGGAAGACTACAACAGACTTTCTAATTACTTAAGGTTTCATTTATCCCCCACAAAGTTTGAGTGTATTGCTGAAAAGAAATACCATAACAGAATATAACTTGCACACAGTATTAAACTTATCATCCCATAAACTTTCTGACATAATTACAAGTCTTAAAAAATAGAACTAAATTTTTGTTCCACCACAGCATGATTCCTGTACACCATATCTTGGCAACTGATGCAGATAGACTTAACCCTCTCCCTATGGTTATGTGAAAGTGCACGTCATGACATTTAGAGAGTTACATTCAAGATTTAATTACACTACTTTATTATTATTATTGTATATGAATAAACTTGGCATCAAAATGTAGTTGATAAACTACATTTTAAGTTCTAATTTTATAAGGAAATATTATTAACAAATCCTCAATCTCCCCTGGTATGAAATTTGTTCTCTAAGTCTTCCCTCTATTCTAATTTATTTACCACCCCCTCTGGGAAGTATAGAATCCAAATAAATTACTCATTATAATATAGCTATTACTAAGGCAAAGCATAATTTTATAGCCTTCAATCTTACTTGTTTACATAGTCATAAACCAGAAAATCAGACTCACTTGCTATGCTCACCTGTCACAGCTTCTCTTTTACAAATTGCCAATACTCCTCTCTGATGTTTCATACTATATCATTTATGACCGACAGAAAGCCAACGTTTTATTCTATCAAATGACATATTATATGACTATCTATTTTATCTTCAGGTGAAAGTTTCTCATGTGATCTATTGAGTAACAAGTTTAAGGTAAGATTTAAAGGTTCTCATGCCAGAATTAGAGAGCCAGGTAAATTATGATAGTTATAGAATATTGTTTGCTTTAGGCATGTTATTATTCTGCAATCTGACAAAATGACATATTATATGACTATATATTTTATCTTCAGGTGAAAGTTTCTCATGTGATCTATTGAGCAACAAGTTTAAGGTAAGATTTAAAGGTTCTTATGCCAGAATTAGAGAGCCAGGTAAATTATGATAGTTATAGAATATTGTTTGCTTTAGGCATGTTATTATTCTGCATTATTTAAGTAAATAAAAATTATCCAGTGTACTAGTACTATTAATATAAAAAAGCAGGTTTAAGTTTCATTAGCAACCAACAGAAATAAACAATAAGTCATAGGTGATATATTTCTTGTTTTCATGTATATATTCTTTATTATTATGAAAGTAACTAAAATGTAAAAATTAAAAACCTATTAAATTAAGTTATGTAAAATAATGAAAAATACTAAGAACAATTCTTCATGAGATATGTACAGAATCAGCTTGTGCATTATTTCATTCATTACAGTAACATGAGCTATGTGTTCACCAAGTGATTTACAACTTGTGTGTTTGGATTCTTAGTTAGACAGGGGTCAAAGTACAATAAAACAATAAAATTAATTATAAACAGATGTGTAGTGTTATGAGTTTTAACTATTCAGAATAAACAATTGTAGTTCTATGTTACAAGTTGCAGTCATTCTAGAAAGAAAAAAGGTAGTTTAAATTTATTTCATATTTTTTTAAGATGGTTACAAGATCTGTCAAATTGACAAAATGCATATAGAGTTAGGGTAGAGAAAATAACAGATAAAATATAAAATTTTATTAAAAAAAAAAGTTTGATATGTATTTAGGAGATTTTAGAGATTATCCGAATGAAATTTGACAATTTTTAGATGAAGAAAATTATTTTTAATCATAACATGAAAATCAGTATGCACTTGGAGCAGTCAACACTCTGACTCCATATGTTCACGGGCACATTTTTAGTAAAAATATTTAACTAAAATCAGATTCTTTTGTGTACAAAAGACTTGTAATGTTTACTGAAAGCTTGCCAAATTTTGTGAGGATACACAAAACATATTATGAGTTAAAGAATGGAAACTTTGAGCTTGTAGCAAGAGGGGTAAAAGTTCTCCCTGGACAATAAACAACAATATATTATGACCTAGCCACTGATAATCTTTGCCATACAGATCACTTTATGACAATCTACCTAGTGATGAATAGAAGAGCTATAAGAGAATTCAGAAGCTTAAATGATTGCATGATTATACTGGCTGATAAAAGTAATGCAGTTGTTCTGACTGACTCTAATGATTACAATGCCAAAGTACTAAATCTGCTAAGTGACTGAAACACTTATGAAATATTATAAACAAACCCACCAACCAAAACTGAAAGTGATCTGAATTAACATTTAAGTATTTTTAACCCCTTTTTTTAGCCTCGAGGCACAAAAGTGACTGCTAGCTATATGCTTTTGTAAAACTCAAACATTTCCCGTTTTTTTGTATTTCATATACAATCAATTTGGTGATAAAACATGATAGTCAATGAACCATTAGTCATGTTTTTTAACTTTTTAAATATATTTCCTGTTTATAAAAATAAATACCCAGTACAAGTAGATGAGTATTGTTATGCAGCTATGCATACCCACTAATGCAGTCTGTGGTTGACCATACTGGTGGCTGTTCTAGAGCTTACCTCTCATGGCCCTGAAGGGAAAGAGTTTTTGTATTCAAAACAAAACTACTGACCCAACTGGCTGAAAGAATGAGAAGATGGAGTCCTCATAACACCGCTTGAAGTTAAAATCCATTTTTGTGGTAGCTAGGCAGGACAGAGTCAGAAATCTAATAGCTTGTCTCTATATAATTACAATGTTTAAATATGTAGGCCTAAAAGAACACCTGTCTTACCGACAGATAACTTACCTGATAATAATTTTAATAAGAATTTCTTTGAATCCATCAGAACATCAGTTTAAATGCCAGAGGAGGTTTTTTTAAAAATAAACATTTATTATGTTTAAAACATATTTTTACTCAAGATTAGCCTTACAAAGCTAATAAGCTTGAAGGTTTAGTTAAGCTTGATAACAAGATATATGGCCAATTAGGGAATTTTGATAGTTGGAAAGTTTGGTGTACTAAAATTTTCACTAACTAATCAGACAACTCAAAATGCTAATTTTATTAACCAACATTACACTTAATAGCCTGAGGCTAGCAAAATACCACTAATTTCTATCCCTGTTATAATAACTTATGATGTTGAAAAGAAACATTCAAATTATATATGCCAAAGAATAGGTTAATTGACAAGAAAAGATAAATGCTGTAAGTGTGAAAAACATGAATATTATGTCAAAGAATGTGATAACACAATCTTTATGTTAAACCAAAGAAATGATATCTTGAGGGTGAGACTACTCCTCCTGTCCCATAGAAATAAGAAGTGTATTATTTAAAGAAATGAGTCAACAGGTTGATTGATAGGAAGTCTTGCAGTTTCTTGCTCGACATTGATTCTACAGTTACAATTGTTTGATCTTATTTGGTAAAGAAAGGTGGGAAATTGCTACCAGAGGTAAAGCATGACGGACTGATGCAAACAGCAAATGGTTATAAAGTTCCAGAAAGAGGAAAGTTGGAAGTATCTCTCACCATGGGAAACTTCTCTAGAAAACTTAATGTATGGTAAATTGAAACCAGGGAAGAGTGCATAGTACGAACTGACTTCATATGGATATACAGATGTGAGGCTGGACCAGTTTCAAGTGTCTTCATAGTCTATGACCAGGAAATCCCTATGCACTGTACAGCAATTACACCACCAGAAATTCAACTTCAAATAATAACAAAGATGGGCACACATGATAATAAAGACAACTGACCTAGATGGCAACAGAGCAGAATCTAGAAGAATAGGTATTCCAAGCAAAGATATTCTCCATCATGAACATCTTTAAAAGCACATCAACTGGAGAATGACCAACTGCATAGTTTCAGTAAAGACTTTGACAGAGATAAGTCAACCTGTAGAAGAGTCTCAGTTTCTTGTTGAAACCACTTCCAGAGTATCACCAGAGTAACAACCATCTACCCAGAGTAATTTATATTCATTTCATATTTTCAACTCTTCATTTTACCACAAACTGTTGATTTCACTACAGCCAGTGCAAAGAAAATAATGGATAAAATTTAAATTTCATTGAAAAAACACTTTTGATATCCATTTAGGAGGTTCTAGAGGTTATGCAAACTGTAATAAAAAAAGAAGGGTGTTTATTCTTAGCATGAAAATAACCTTAAATTAAGACTGACTCAATAAAAGCTTTGTAAGTTTACAAACAAATCTTTAGCAAATATACTTTTTAAAACAAATATGATTTTTTTGTGTACAACAAACTTTTCAGATTTACTGGAATTTACCAGATTTTCTGAAGATACAAATAATAAATTCAGAATTATAGTGAACAATAATTCTCCAATACAGGCATTGGTCCAATGGACGGACCCAAGCACATAGTGTTAAGTATCACATAACACTGGACAACAAAACATTTGCTACCGGAGAAAACTGAAGCCTAGAATGATTAGGGGTAATTTGATGGTGCTGATTTCAAAAAATGTAATCAGAATTTGTCCATCACATCAATATTTTATCAGCATTATGTAAAATACCATGTAATCAACTCAGTACAATAGATTTATGCTGTGAAATTAAGATTAATAATGTAGATGATTGATAAAACATAAATCATTTTATTTACAAGGTTTAAAAGTTTCAGAATAAGTTATTCCATCTTCAGCAAAATCTGAAAATCATGTTACAAAGATG